TAGAGACAGGAGAAGCCCCTGCCTCTATTGAAAATGTACACTTGCTCCTTTAACACCTTTATTGTTAATTGCTAAAACTACATCTTGCTCATCATCTGTTACGCCTCAAAACTGGATAGGAAAAAAAATTCAAATGAAGCAAAGTGAAAAGATTTCAGAGATGGTACAGAAGGCTCCTGAAGGAGCTGAAGAATACTCTCCGGAGACTAGGAACGCTGCGCTAACCCAACCTGAAAGAAAGATCTTAAGACAAAGAAATCTTGCCAAATTGATCCTTTAATTATAACATTAGTCGTTTCTTTCAAAGGCTTAGTGCATGAGCTGGGGGTGGGGGGCAGAAAAGACTTAACATCACCAGGATGAGTGGAAGCAATTAGGAGGAATTAAATTACTCTCTTGTTTGGTACAAGGCAGATGGATTTCACTTTTCTTGCCATCATGCTCAACTTCTTGCTCTGCCATCAGCTTCAAGAGGGCTTCTCTTCAGCACTGCATCAGACCCAAAGATCTGGCCTTTTAAGTTGGTCAGCCCTGTGGGCAGCATCGCCTTCCACACTGGACACACACAGCTCCTGAACCAGGCTGTGAATATTGGTGATTTTAGCAGCTTTTCATCCTTAAAAGGCGTGGGAAGTTCAGGGGTGTAGAGGGGAAAGGAGTCTACCAGGGCAATCAATCCTCACCAAGACAAATGCAGCAATACACAGAGGAGGGCTTTACCTACCAGGGCAATCAATCCTCACCAAGAAGAATAATGCAGCAATACACAGAGGAGGGCCTTATTGCAAACCTGATTTTCTTTGCAGATGCTGGAGAAGGGAAGACAGAAGAGAGTCCAGACACAGCCCATCTAATCTCAGAAGCCCTGCATCAGTCCTGAACACTATACCTCTATGTACTGCTTATTTCACTCTCTCTGGTCTTCAATCTGCTTTAGGAGAAGCTAGACACAAGCCACCTTCTCACCAGGAGGGACAAAGCGAACAGGAACTCTGCAGTGTCTGGCTTGGATGAGGTCAGCCATGAGTCCTGGTCCTCACCAGACGAGGTGCTGGAGGGACCATGACTGCTTCTTCATCGTGCAGGTCACAGGCCAAGGGGACGAGCGGAACGAGAGAAGATGGGAAAGCAGCACGACGCTCCGCCAGACACACGGTGCTTGGGCGCATTGCTGCTTCGGAGACGTATCATGAACCAACAGATCCACACTGTTCCACATGAGCAAGAGAAGAGAACCTGCCGCACAAAGAAGGGAGAGGAGACCTTTGCAGGTCTCCAGCATGGGGCACGTGCACCTTCTGCAATCCTCTGATTCACAACACACAGTGTGATCTCAGGACACTGCCTGCAAAGGACAAACAGCAGCAGGGGGGAAGGAGGTCCCATCCACACTTATGCCTCCAGCAACAGGGATGGCTGTGACATAGGAACATCCCTCTGTACAACAGCAGTTCTCCCTGGGAAGAGGCACAGCTCTGCTTGTATCCTGCCCCCACTGCAGGAGGGTGCTGAATTACACCCTCCTTAGGACATGCTACAGTAGTAAGCAATACCTCATGAGATTGCTACAATCCTTCCTAATTCTCAAATCCACAGAGCACTACATGGCAGAAAACTGGCCTTTGTAGCTGATGTTACATCCCTGCTTGCTTTGACCAGCTCTCATCTGCCAAGATTACTTCAGTAGCTTTTGTAGCTTTAAAAGCTGAGCAGTTACATCTCCTTGGGCTTTATACCTGCAAAATGTTCTCAAAGTAGAACAGGGCCAATTTTTTTCTTCCTGCTTTCAGTTAGAATTAATTGATCTGTAATTGTACCCACAGAGGGGAAGAGTTAATAGACACAGCAATAAATGCCAAACCTCCAGAAGAACTGGCTCTCCAGGCCCCTGCCTGGAGCGACTCCATCTCCTCTTAATAGCATTACAATACAATTCCAATGTATATGCGCGTGTGAGCATCGAGAGAGAAAACCGAGGAGCCTTGGTGTGATGGAATTCATTTCTCTTCCTCTCCCACATACTTTGTGCTTCGGAGCAGATGGATTCAGGCTGTTTACATCATGGAGGTCATGATGCTAGTTTAGCAATTGGGGAACTGACTGTTGAGAGGGAAGTGCATCGCAACCAGAGGATTACCAAACCCAGGCTCCGGCAAACTTCCGATGGTGGCAAATTAAACATGCAAACGTCCTCGTGACAGCCTCTCTGGATGCAGGACTCACCTCGGATGTTTGATTGTTTCCCTAATGAAAACAGCTGCCAGGATAAAGTAAGGGCAGAGAAGCAGCTCTGTGGCAACTTGTATGTGTGAACTTACAGAGGAAGGATGGAGATCCAAAATGGATTTCACTCTTAGTGCAGATGGTGCCATTTGCAAGCAGTGTGTGTCCAGATTTTCATTCTTCATTGCATCACATCTGTATCATACAGATGAACTTTGGTTTAGGCCAATGTACAGTAACATCTCTCTAATCCTTCAGCCAGCTGAAGTCTCAGTAAGCAACGCCGTGCTAGAGGGCACAGGGCATGGCCACCTCGGCCAGCAGTGACAAAGAGACTTCTCTCCCTACAGGCAGGTACCACCACGTAGAGGCCACCAAATCTTAGGCTGGCAAGGCGTGACTTTCTTGTGCATGGTAGGAGAGTCTAGAGAGCAGTTGACAAGGTTGCAGTAGGCCAGTAGCTGCTTTGGGGTGGTTACGAGCATCTTATGAGTGGTAGGTTGCTGCTTAGTAACACCACGTCCAGGACTCCACCAGACACGGGATAGCAGCCAAGTCCCCATCGCTTTGGGGATCTCTGCTTCCGCCACTGCTGGAGACTAGAGCTGAAGCAGCTCTTGCAGGCCTGAGCCTTCCTCTGGGACATCCTCTGTCTCCCCATTGCTCAGGGTAAGACTCACCACGTCGTCAGAGGAACCTTCCCCCAAAGCAGTGCCGTAACCCGAAGGAAACGTTGCCTTCACGTGAAGGCGTTTCCACAGAGCTCGTCAGCAAAGTGACCTTTGTCTCCAAGCTCCTTGAAGCTGAGAGGAGTGAAAAGGGAGCACAGACGATGCAGCCAGTTCCCTGGGTTGCTCATCTAAGAGGCACAGGAATGGAAAGGTCACACTTTGGCTACTGGAGGGGAGCCAGCTACTTTCTTCTCGCACAAAAGGAGTGAGAGAACTGTTAAAAACAATAAAAGCCAAACAAGCGAAGCAAGGAAAAGAGTCATTCCCAGCGAACCTAATCTTTGCGTGTTTGCGTTCAAGGACCCGTGTTGTTTGTGGGCAGAAGCTCCCTGTGCCTCCTCGCCTCCAGCAGCCACGCTGGCTAGAGGACATCCCGCTTCCCAAGCAGCCAGGGCTGGAGGACACCACGGACACCGGGGATCTCGGTGCACCCGCGGAAGCGCTGGGATGGCGGCCAGCTAGGAGGGTGTGCGGGGTTGGCTGCTCCGCTGCTGCCCACCCCGCTCTCCCAGGGCAGCCCCGCTCAGCCCTCGGGGAACCGAGCAGTCGTGCTTCTCCCTAGGTATCTGGCACGCCGCTAGAGCGTCTCCATTGCCAATTAGGCCAGCCACCCACTTGTATCCTTCCCCAATACAAGCCCTATCAGCAATAAACAAACACTGGAAATGCCAGCCGGCGCCTGGGAAGAGCCTGAGACAACGGCATCCGGCTGAGCGGAGCAGGGACGAGCCGCCTCACGCAGCCCCGGCCTGGGCAGCTCCGCGTCCCGAGCCAGTCCATGGCCCTGCTGCCGGCGCGCTGCTCAGCCGGGCCTGTCCCTGGCTGCCTTGCGGGCCGGAGGGCTCTTGTCGTGCTGTGTTCCACATCCGCAGGTCATTCTCAGCATCACGCCGGCACCGAAAGCCTCTCGGCGCATTCACCGCGCGTGTTGTGCCTTCGACACGGCACCAAAGGGCTCTGCCGGTCGCCTGGTCCCAAGCTTCCTAACCCTCCTTCCTGGGATGTTCGCAGGAAAGGTCCCGCGTGATGCTGACATCCAGCTGGAGTTGCTCAAATGCCCAAACTGGACACAGCCAAAGAAATGCAAAAGCCACCCAGCCCTGCACAGACGTCTCCGTAATCCATAAGGCCTTCCTCCCTGCCAGGCAGCCCAAACCCTTATGGTAGCCCGTCCCCCAGAGCCCTGGCCCTCAGCGCGAGGCCAGAATGAGGCTGGGTTAAGTCAGTCACCAAGAGCGCCTTCCTGCTGCTCCTGAAACCACCACCGCCCTCCAGGACTCCCAGGGGCACTGGGGACAGTGACAGAGGCCAGTCCCCACCTTGATCCCTGCATCCTGAAGTATTCCTGTGCGCTCCCCCGGCTGCGCAACACGGTGCCGCGGCAGCAGCTTTGTGCGGGTTTCCCTGAGGGGCACCTGGCCGGGGGAGCCGGCCCCGCTCCAGCGCTTGGCCACTGCCAGGGACTCGAAAGGGCCACGCGCACGGCGGGCTCGTCCCCGCCGTGTCCTCCCTCGCGCGGAGCCGTTCAAGATGTGCTGATGTAACCGCAGTTCATCGCCATGGAGACGAGAAGCCTTTTTCTTTCCAAACCCAGCCCAGTGGCTTGGATTAAAATCCCTCTTGGAACGGGGACAGCTGTGTTGTCCCCTCCTTCCCTGCCTCTCCGCGGGCATCCCAGGGACACCAAAACCTCCCTGCACAGGGTAGCGGATTCCCCTCCACCGCGGCCAGGCATAACCCTGATTTTTACACACATCCCGGCTCAGACGCGATTCTGTAACCCCCTCCACGTGGTCACCGTCAGCCGGCAGGTTCACACTGACCATTTCCTACAGGCGACCAAAACCGTGGGCTTTCCAGCAGGGTGGCTGAGCAAGAAAGCATCTTCAACAAGGGGGATAAAATACGTGACCCTTCTCACGACAGTCTCGCTTGGAAGCACAGAGACACCGGCCGCCTAGATGGAAAATGCCACTGCAGGAAGGGGAACCCACGAGCTGCAGCCCCCGCACCCCTTCCCGTTTCCGGATTGAATCACCTGCTTACCCTGACAGCACCCCCAGGACGAGGTTGAGCACGAAGAAGGATCCAATGATGATGAGGGGGATGAAGTACAGCCAGTTCCAGGTGGCTCCTAAGGCATCATTGGTCTGGAAGGGAAAAAAGAAACGAGAGTGTGCATTACATTCGACACCAACACAACCCGGGGTTAGCGTGTCCCGAGGCAGCACATGAGCCTGGGTGCAGAAAAGAGGCTCCTTCCGCCTCGCACCAGCCGCTTTCGACTGTGTTTATCGAGGGAGACGGCCCAGCCGCGCGCGGGAGCTCTGCTGCTTGGCCAAGGCCGCGAGGAGCCGGGCAGAGCTCTGACCGCAGGGCAAAGCCCGACAGCTCGGAGGGCTCCCGGCCAGCCCCGCTCGGGGCCTCCGGGCAATTACTCGCAGAGGCTTCTAATAAAGCAGCGCCCGCGGGAACCTGCCCGGCACTGTCCGGCCCCAGTGCTGTGGCACAACGGGACCGTCTGGGGGAGGCAGCATCAATCTCGTGGCTCTGAGACACTCGTTTGCTCTTCAGCCCGCTTCCCGATGCGGATTACAGCCTCGTCTTCGTCTGAGTCACTGGCCCCAGTGAACCCTGGCTGGGGTCACTGCGCTCGTCCCCTGCGGCACCGATTTTGGTGCATTGGTCGTCAGGGTGTCTCGGAGTCTGCAGGCGGTGCCGAGTGAGTTGCTGTGGCTGGGAAAAGCCTTCAGATCCCATCGCAGCCTCCTCCGGAGAACGGGAACAGGCTCGGGAGCTGTCCCATTGCTCCGAGGAGGTTCAAAGAGCTTCCAAAGAAATTAACAGTTTCTCTGCCCAGCAGCTAGAAGAGAGGTGACCACTCAGCAGCAGATGACAAGCAAATTCCCTGGGGTTATGGGCTAAGGACACCAGCAGCCACTCCCAGGCTGCCCCTCCCCAGCTGCATGTACCAGTTTACAAGCACAGTCAACGCTTGCACGGCCTGAAACCCATATGTAAACATGTATATTTTATATATGCACGTGTATACGCACGTGTTCCCTGCTCTCACACTCAGGGCTAAAGCACGTCTGCCCAGGAAGCCCCAGGACCCGCCAAACCGGCTGCCCATCCCGTTAACGCCAGCGCCCCGGCCCGCGCTCCCCGCCACGTCCAGCGGATTTCCCTGCGGGGCGGACGCGGTCTGCGGAGCGCGGCCATCGCCCTCCACGCAGCCTCCCCCGGGGGAGCCCTCCGGCAAAATCCATCGTCCCCGGGGAAGGCTTGCCCTCGAGCAGATGCTCTAACGGTTGCTCTAATTTTCATCCTAAACTTATTTGTGGCCAGTTTATACCCACTTGTTCTTTTGCCAGTATCAGTCTTTGGCTTAAAGAGCTCTTCTCCTTCCTGTTTCCCAGCCTTACATATTTATAGATATTGATCATGGCCATTCCCAGCCTTTACTTTGCTAGTCAAAGCAAGCCAGCTTTCCCCTTGTATGACAGATTCTCCCTCCCTAATTTATCCAGCAGCCGCTTCCCCGCTCCAGCTTAGGCTCCATCCACCTTCCCTGGACACTGAGGCGAGAGGCTCCGGCGCAGGCCTTGCCTCTTCCTCCAGGCCATGGCTCCTCCGCTCGAGGCCACAACCTCCGTGCCCCGGCTCAGGGGAGCTGCCCAACACGCCAAGCTCCGAGACGCGACACCCGCCGCCAGCCCGAGCTGCCGGCGCCGTCTCCATGCTGCTCACTTCTTGCCAGCCTCGCAGCGCCTCTTCCACTCCCCATCTTCTCTTGTTCATTAACAGCTTCCCCTACCAAGCGCTTTACTACAGAGAGGAGCCCTGCGCTTTTCCCCTGCTTAGAAACCAGGCCTCCGATGCCAGGTTAGCCTGGCATGACCTACCTTTGGCAAACCCATGATTCATTTTCCTCTTGTGCCTTCAAAAATCTGTTCTAAAATGGCATGCGATTGAGGTCAGGCTTGCAGTCCTATTCCTGCCTGGCTTACTTTTTCCTACTCCCCCCGCTTTTAAATATAGGCATTACATTCGTTCTTCTCCAGTCAGATGGTGCCTCCCCCAACTGGAGGGAGTTGTTATAAATACTCATTACCAGACCTGCCGTGTCATGGTGCCTGCTCTCCGCAGCGGCTGCGGCGGCGCCGAGCCCGGCCCGGGCCGGGTGGGCACCCTGCTGCCAGCTCGGCCATGCTCACGGCCAGCACCCGGCCTTCCCCTGCATCCCCGCATGCCAAAAGCCACGGGATCGCCCGCCCCAGCCTTCAGCCTCACCTTGCTCCTGTTTGAAGGGGTGACGGACCAGGGGCTGCTCCTTGAGCACCTTGGACTTCTGGCAGCTCCCACACCCCCTCCCTCCTTCTTCAGCACTAAGATGTGGTTGTCACTCCTGAGCGACCCCTTCTTCCACACTGTTTATTCCCGGTATCCCTCCATAGGCATCGCCTCGCTCCATGGAGCCTCCTGCCGGGCTCTCTCCCCTCGCTTCAGCTTGCCATGCAGAGCGGTCAGGGTGGACAGAAACCACAGCTAATTTAATCCCCAAACCAAACGAATGCTGCAACTCCCTTAATGAAAAATGCTCCTCGCTCGTGCTTCCGGACTCCTTGGCTCCCTGCGCCAGCTCCCTTTGCCAAGCTGGGACATTCGGGATGTGCCTGGCAAGGGGCTCAAGTGGCTCTGCCCTTCAGCGAAGGCCCCGGCCTTGCTGCTCAGCACGACGACAACGGGGAGGGAGCTCCGTGCACCGCTCAGCACCGCGCGCTCGGAGGAGGCAGCTGTCGGTGCCGCGGGGACCCGCGTCCTGCTCTTCCTGCTGCAATTGTGTTTTCCAAGGGCGGGAAGTGCATGGAGAGCTGCAGAAGAAGGTCTCCCTCGGGGGGCTAGAAATCTGAAGTCTAAATATATACGTAAGTGGAATGCAAAGCACAGGCTCGCAGCCCACACGCATCCTCCCTCAGGCTGCACTCGCATGGGAAACTTTAGGATTTCTTTGCCATAGGGAAGGGGGGAAAAAAACGCACAAACTCAGTCTCTCCTGCCTAAAAATAAACACAAAGCATGTTCTGCCTTTGCAGCCTCCCTTTCAGCACCGCCCCTTTCCCGGTGCTCAGAGAGAGGAATTGGGATCCTGCCGACCAAGGCAGCGCGCACCCGTGTCCTGAGAGCAGGGAAGTCTCGGAAGCGGCTGCCCTTCACTCACGCATCTATTCACTCGCTGGGGGATTCTCCAGTGTCTAGTAACAGCTCCCACTTCAGGCTTTCCCTGGAGGGTAGGGGCAAGGCGGGGAATCTTCCCCTCTTTACCCAATGCCTGTAGGAAGGGTATCCTTGAGGTCACCACAGCCAGCCCACGGTGAATTTGGCCAAGAGGCCCAAAAACCGCAGAGGAAAGAAAAGAAGGAAGATGGATGGATGGATGGATGGATGGATGGATGGATGGATGGATGGATGGATGGATGGTCACCCAAGTTGCTACATCTCGAAAATGTAAAGCATCAAGGCCAAACTGCTCCACGCAGACAACACCTCCCTCTGCCCACTCCGAGCCGCAGCAGCCGCCTCCTAATGTCCTGCGCTCGGTTGGGCCCCCTGTCAAAATTCATCTGCATTAGGACAGAGCCCCTGTGATTTCTGCTTGAATCCAGACCAAACAGCGCCTAATTAGATTGGGGTAATAACACAATCATTAGCGCAACCAGCTGTCCGTGACTTGTGCAGGGAATAGGCAGCATGGCCCTGAGAGGGACAGGGCCCAAGCACACACTGAACCCGCCGTTGCGCCCTCCACGGGGCAAGGGGAAGCCTCTTCTCCTGGCACAAGGGCTGTGGGGTGCCCCGATCCAGCTTTAAGCCTTTTCCTCTGCTGTCCTTTTCCTCTGCTTTTCCTCTCCCACGCTCCAGGGCTTGGGGGGAGATCAGACCTGTGGGGACAGAGGATGCAAAACCCACCGGTGTCCCCAGTATATCTCAATATACCACCACGAAAAAAAAAAAGCCACCCCATGGCAGATTGCATGGCCTTGCTGGCCCCTCAAGACCCTGCTGCTGCCCAGGGCTGCTCTGGGCAGCACAGAAACAGATCTGCTTCTGGCCCGTAATAGCAGTAATTTCATCTCCTGCATGCAGGGCCATGCCTCAGTCCTGCCAGCGGGGCCTGGCATCCATCAGCGACCCCGGCACTCTACAAGATGTGAATGAAAATGCTTTTCTTCCCCAAATTAGGTTAATGAGGAAATGGGCGCATTTCCTCTGCAGGAGGAGGGCAGGGGGCTGGTTGCCTGCACAGGCCGGCGGTGCAAACAGGCAGCGAGAAGCCGGGAATCTCCAAAATGGGATGCTCAAAAACGCGGGCAGGCCCCAAGCGTACAGGCACAGGGAAGCAGGAGGCCGGGAACAAAAATCAATGTATTGCATTTTTGTGTTTTCCAAATGAAACATTTCCACTTTTGACTCAGAAAAAAAAAACACACACACACACACGTTGCTAAAAGCATTATGAGAATTAAGTGTTTCAAAACTGCTCGGAATGGGCACCGATTTTCATGTCGCTGCACGGGGATGTCTCAGCTCCTCTGGGAGAGCGTCTGGGGCGGGAGAAAGGGTTGTTTGCTAAAGGCTTTAAGGCCGGATCTTCCCCCAGTCCTCGCAGACTTGTGTTATATTCAACCCATCACCAGTCCTCACCCTCCGAGGGCAGCGCGGGCTCCAGCCTGGGGTGCAGGGGAGATTTCTGCCTGTATTTCCCGCTGCCGGAGCGGCCGGGATCCGACAGGAATAGCTGCAGCGGTAATAAGATCTGCGCTCGCTAGCAAGCTGCTAAGAGCGCTGGGTGTTGATTAAATTTTCATGCCTCCCTGACAGGATTTTTTTTGTTGTTTTGTTTTAATTTAAAACACACAAGAAGGGACTACTTCTCCCTGGGCAAGTGTTCCGGCGCGAGAGCCTGGCAGCGTCCCAGGGCACGGAGGAGGGGGAAGCCGGAGGGACGGGAGCAGAGGAGCCACGACGGTGCTGCCGGAAAAACAGCTGCAAGGAAGGGGCACAGGGGAGTCCAGAGAGCAAGGAGGAGCCGTCACCCGAAGCATCCCACCCCCGCCCCTCGCGCCGGCCGCAGCGCCGCTGTTCCACGAAGGAAGCGGGAGCCGGACGCCGTCCCGCGGCAGCCGCCCGTGCGCGCACGGACAAGCAGGGCAGCCGCCGGCGCCGCCAGCCTCCCTCCTCCCTGAGGTCCCTGCACAAATCGGGTTTAATATAAATCCAGCCCAAGGAGGAGGTATCTGCTCTAACAAGAGCGAGGGGGGAAACTGCAGCAGGCAGAGGCAGCCCGAGGCACCGTGAACCTCCAGTTCCCTCGGGAAGGAATTAAAGCCTCTCGGGCTCCTAGGGATGGCAGCTGGAGAAGATACAACATGCCTCGGGTGGAGGGCTTCATTTTTGTGTTATTTTCTATCATACTGATATTTCCACATGGCACAACAGCGTTTCACGCGGGCGAGACCAGGGAAAGCAACAGGAGGGCCAAGCACATCCATGGAGCAACACACGTGGAAAACGCCACGGGGCTGACGCTGCCTCACGAGGCTCTCCCCAGGCCCCAAGAGCTGCCTTTCTACACCTGGAAAACGGGGTGAAAACGGAGCCGAAAAATCACGACGCAGCTACCCAGGGGAATAGGAGAGCAAGCGATTTGGCTGTGGGATTGCCGAGCTGTTTTCCCGCTGCTCTGCGAGGCCGCTCGCTGCAGAGCGGAGTGTCCCGGGCTCCGCCGGGGCACGGCTGCCCCTCGTCTGCGGAGAGCCAGGACGATCCGAGCGGATCCCTGGGCTGCATCCATCACCATGGAGCATCTCCTTAGTCCGGCAGGCTCCGGCCGCCCCCAGCTGCCCGGCACATTGCTGCTCTCATTCCTCTCCACATCTTTTCCACAAAGGAGTCGCAAACGCATTTTGACCCTGTCTCCAGGTGCTCCCCGAGGACATCCAGGTTTTTAACGGCCCGGAGCCTGCAAAAGCAGCCAAGGCCGGCAGGCAGCCTGTGCACCAGCCCGCGCAGAGGGAAGAGAGAAGGCCGAGTCACCTGCAGACCTAGGAGCCCCCGGGGGAGCCGGAGGCATCGGGAGCACATCTGTGTCCAGGGAAGGCCAGGGAGGCACAGGCAGGCAGGCAGCCCGAGCGGGAAGCGCCTAAGGGACAGCGCAGGGAAAAGCGGGAGGCAGACAGGGATGAACAGCAAAGTGAATCAGCAGCATTTTTACCAGCAAGGCCCAAATCCTCATTCAATTAAAAGCAAAGACAGGTCCCTGATACTTCCCGTTATAGGCAAGTAATAGCTGCTGCTCTGCAGAGAGGAATGGGAAAGGGAGGTACCTTACAGCCCCAGCCACCAGGAACACAGTGACAGCATCTGGTCAGAGCTGCCATAGATGCTGGGAAAATCACTGGGATACCAGGTGGGAAAGGCTTCAGCTGCCAGCTCCACACTGCTGCACAGGGGCTGCAAGGAGAGGAGGTGGCGACGGGACCGGCGCAGGGGACCCGAGTGGCACCCGCCACGGGAGCTCACGGCTCAGCTGCCTCTCCCTGCAGGGCTAAGTGCCGCCAGGCTGCTTGTCCCAGCAGCAGGGACAAAGTCCGCGGAGCTAAAAATCAGCTTTTCCACACCCAACAGGCAGAGTAAATATCCGAGAATGTTTCCCCATCACAAACCACCCAATCTGCCTCCGGCAGAGCGGTGCCACCCTGCAAGTCTCCAGGCATTATGAGAACCAGGGTAGAAAAACATTCCTGGCGCAGTGACGCCGAGATCGATGCCGAAATTAGGCTGGGAACGGGACTGGGGTGGTTGTTCCTAGCCCTTAAACTAAACCCAACGAATACATCCGACCACCCGCAAAGACGCAGCGCTCTGTGGCAGCCTGCACCTCTTCCCTGGTTCCAGCATCTGGAACTTTGTGGGATGTTCCCCCTGGAGCAAACCCTGTCCACGCTGCCGGAGCAGGAGGCTCGTGGCAGTCCCCGCTCACGAGGTTTCACTCTCTGCAACAGGTTGCAAAACCAGCCCGGAGATGGGGCCAGGCCGTTTGCCCAGGGGACCCAGAGAGACACGGAACAGACACCTCTGTGTCCCCCTGGCATCTCCTGCGCCAAAGGGAAGGTCTGGCCCCATCTGCACCACTCCAGAAACCCAGGATTTCAAAGGTTTTCAGGGCCTGGGAATGGGGGTCCTGGCTCATCGCTGTCCCGCGCAGCTGCCCAGCGAGCGCGGTGCCACGTTACTCACGTTGTACAGGACTGTGGTCCACCCTTCCATGGTGATGCACTGGAAGACGGTCAACACAGCAAAGAGGATGTTGTCGAACTGCGTGATCCCATCATTGGGACCGATCCACTCCCGGCACTCGTAGCCTGGGGGGCAACCCTGCACCCCGCACGGATGAGGGGGGTCCAGCTCTTCTAGTTCACCTGCGAGCAGAGAGCCAAAGGGCACGGAGGTAAGGGAGAAGCAGGAGATAGAGGATTCCCGAATGCAACGGGTTTGGGACACAGAGGGAGGTCTCCATTAGGACTAGCCCTGGGAGTCGACGTGAGGGAAGAGATTGCTAAACCCTGAACAAAAGCAGGGTCATGCACTAGTACTTGAATCGCCAGGGCAACGCACAGACAGAGCCGGCCCGTCTGCCCCACGGCTCCCGGGTGCAGCGCGGGAGCGGGGATCGTGTCCTCACCGGAATTGTTGGTGTAGCAGGCCCGGTGCAGCTTCCCGCTGTAGAACTCCAGGCCGATGATGGCAAACATCAGAATTGCGAAGAAGAGCAGCAAGCCGATCTGCAGCAGAGGCACCATGGCCTTCATGATGGACTTCAGCACGATCTGCAGGCCTGGAAGGCAGAGGAGACCGTGCAGCTCAGCGAGGTGCTGCACCCCCGTCCATCCCACCCGGGGCTGGACAGACAGTAGCCCCGGAGGAGGAGGAGAGGGGACAGGCCCAGCACTGGAGGGGGTCTCTGTACAGCTGAGGACCAGGGAGGAAAACATGGTCCCAAGGGAAGCAGAGCGGCCTGGGCACGGAGCAGGGCTCCGGGGAGCGATGATTTCTGGATGTGCCTCTGACTCAGCAGGGCCCTAATGAAGTCCTCCCTGCTGTGCCCTGGCTTCCCCCCATGCTTCTCTTGTGAACAAGAGTTCATGGAGCAGGAGCCACCATCTGCGCCGCGCTACCGAGGCCCACGGCACTGCCGGGGCGCTGCCGGGCTCCACGTCCTCCCAGCCTGCTCCAGACGCCCTCCCGGGACCCGCTGGCTGCGTGGGACCTCCGAGGGACAGAGCGAGAGCCACAGTCCTGCCGCCATCCCCCAGCAGCGTAAGCCAGGAGACCCACACGTGCCCAGCAATCTGCACCTCAGGGCAGGCTTTTTCTTCCAAGGAACCTTAATTCTCACCAGTGCTTCCACCACGGAGCACTTCCCAATGGGAGTAGCATCAAATTGGGTTGGACAAACATCTCCTGAACAGCGACTGGTGAAAGGGGCCAGGCTGGGACATCTCTTGGCAGCAAAGGAGGGGACACCTTCCCCGCAGGATTTCTCTGCTCCTAGAGGAGCTTTTGCTGGGGCTGCTTCTGGCCCTGCTTGCTGGGAAGAGCTAGTGAGGAGCTGCTGTGTCAGCAGCACAAAGCCACGAAGTTTCCCTGCCCAGGGCCCTGGGCTGGACCCCTCACAGCACCCAAGTGCCGGGGAATTTCCACAGAAGATTTGCCTGCCTGCTTCCGCAGTAGATCACAGCTCGCTTCCTAGGACCATTTCGGAGCCTTCTGGAATAAATCCCACAACATTTCCAGAACCTAATAAAGCTGGTGCTGCCCTTGATCTCTGCCACTTACAATTCCAGCCCTCTCTGCAGGGCTGCGGCTCAGTACAGGGCTCCATGAAGATTGTGAGAAAGCTCTGAGCATCCAGCAGAGCATTTTTCACATGCCAGCCAAACCGGCCGGACTCAGTGGCCCATGTTCCTCTCTCTCTCCTCCTCTCTGCCAACGAGTTAGGGATCCATCATAGCGCCTGTTCAGTGCCCAAGGAGGGAAGGAAGGGAGGATCAGAGATACCAGCAGCCTAGTTTCTTTATTTATCCCCATTCCTGCAGATGAAAACTTGCAAAAACTAGATCTCCCCTGAATAAACCTCAGTCCTTAAAGGATCCACCCACTGCCTTCTGGCCAGGGAGCCAAACCAGTGCGCGGGTCCTGCCGATCTGCAGCTCCCCACGGCGCGCTGGCAGAGCGCGCTGCGCCTCGGGCCGGCTGGCAATGCCGCGCGGGGACACCCAACGCTCCCACGCTGCGTGGAAACCTCCTGCGTTGAGTTTGCTGAAGGGACTGCTGCAAGGGTCGCGTGTGACATCTGCCCCGACCCGGTTGTGATCAGGAAGGTTCATCCTCCCCCGCTTCCACGATTCTCATTCTATGCCCCAGGTGGTACAAGGACTACTCCAAACCTGAAGGACGCTGGAAGGGGATGGGAAGAAGCCGGCGGGAGGGCGAAGAGCATCCGACTTACTGGGAATGCCCGAGACGAGCTTCAGAGGTCGGAGCACGCGCACAGCCCGCAGGGTCCGCAGGTCCACGTGCGTGTTGAAGTGCGTCCCAGCCGTGGCGAGGATGCTGCACCGGACACGGAGAGAGCAGAGTCACCGCGGGGTCCCGCTCCGCGCACCGGGGTGCCCTTGGAGCCCCCCCTCGGGGAGCTCGGAGAATAAGCCGCGAACCTCCTATGCATTAAAAAATATATAGTAATGAAAGTTTGATGACCTTGGGAGACAGCCAGCAGGCAAAAGGAGGACCCCAGAGGTTTTCTTTTAAAACACAGCGATTTTTAAGCTAACCACTGGAAAACAAATTGGGGGAAGAGAGGAGCCAGTGCGGCCTTTGAGTGCTGCAGGGGAGGTATCAGAGGGTGCCCGAGGGGACGCTGGATGCTGCTCCAGGGCCGGGCAGAGCGGCGCAGCACGGATGTGGAGCGCGGATCCTCCCCCTCCTCGGCTCAGCTCGCCTGCACTGGCACCCCGGGAGCGCTGGTGGCAGCTCTGTCCCCAAGCGCTGGCGCTGCCGGGAGGCAGGAGAGAAGCAGGAGGGTCGCAAGGAGGGAGCAAAGCAGGGAGCAGCAGGAGGAAGAGGAGATGGGGAGCGGGACGGCGGCAACCTCAGGGCTGCTTGCGGCAAGCCAAAAAGCGACGGAAATTGGGTCATTGTTCCACTAATTCCCCTAATTACAGGCCAGAGCAGCTCTCAGGCGAGCGGCACAATTAGTGCTCATTCCTCCTCCTCTCCCGGAGGTGCAGCGGGTACCAACGTGCCCCTCCAGCAGCACGAGGCCAATTTCCTAGGATACCCCGGCAGCAGAAACCCTCTCCCATCGGCAAAACGGCTTCTTGCAACTTGCGCTCACGTTCTCCCCCTTTCTGCCTCCCCCAGTTGAGGGCACTGCCTGGGAAGCAGGATTGGGGGAACGGAGCTGGCGTGGAAGGAAAGACGGGACTTTGCTCTCTCGCCCTTCCTGCTGCAGGTCGACCTCAGGCAGAGGGGCACCCATCGCATCCATCCCAGCCTCCGGCACAAGGCCTGGGCTGGGCACGGAGCCACCAGGGCTGCTACCAACATGGCCATGAGAGCTACGGCCTCTGCCGACCCCCGGCCTCACCGGGGCGCAGGGGCACGGCCACCGCGCGACTCCGAGGAACAGCGTGAACGCTCCAAGCGCGCTCCGGACTTCAGCGCTTCGCTGCGTGTTAACCCCAGAGCTGGGGCTCCTTTGCACAGCGCGACCCACATGGCACCGTGCGACCCAGTTCTGGTCTCCCGGGCAGGACCTAATTTGTTTAACGCTTCGCTCTTCGCTTCCTGCACGTCAAATTGCTCAGGGAAAGACCTGGTTCCAGAAAGAGCCTCCCTGCAGCACTTCCCAGCCCTGCTTTCTCCCCTAAAAATTAAATATTTGCCGTGGAGGGAAGAGGCATTTTTAAAGGCTTGGTCAACTATCACAAATAAATAAACCAAAGAGGAATTAGAAATGGGCATTAGAACAAGAAGTGCAAAAAACAGCTTGAGGCGACGGGAAAAGAGCACCAGGACTAAACTCCACTTAAAAAGGTTAACTCCTCCGTGTCGGGATGCGAGGCTGCGGGGCGGCAGGAGCATCTCCTCTTCGTGTTATTTACTAAGGTTTCCTATTCCTCCTTGTGCAGCATCGTTGAGAGTTGGGATTCGGGATGTGACAGCCCTTCCAACCGGGCAGCAACCCCTGCACCCCTAGAGCAATTTAAATCCTATCAAACACTTCCAAAATCCATGTCTGATGGGCTAATAATTATTCTCTATTTTTAGGCAAAGACCTAAACTAAAATTACATCTCACTATCCAAGTTATCTAAAAAAGCTGGCGGATTGGGCTATAAAAATCCCAATGATCTCATGCTTTTCATCACATGTACCGGAGGAAAAAGAAAGAAAGAAAGAAAGAAAGAGTGAAGGCGTTTTTATAGGTCACACCAGCAAAGGGGTTAGTTCTACTTCTGGAGGGGAAAGGCAGAAGGCAGCTCAGGTAGAGGAGAGCAGAGAGGGCCTACTGGAAGGATGTAAATGAGAGAGCAGGTAGGATGGGAAATATATCCCAATCCCGCAAGGCGCAGTTGAACAGTGGGCAATCGCAGGCAGACAAAACTGCGCTTTGGAAAAGGACTGGTGCTCTGTGTTTGCAACCAGGACGGTTATTTTATTTTATTTATTTACAGCATCTTGAGTGCCTGCTGAGCTCCCCTCAGTGCCTGCTTTCAGGGATGGATGCCAGGCAAGGGCATCCTTCTGCTCAGGGTCTGCACCTATGGATTGCTCTTTCCTTGCGGGACTCAGGGAGTGATGTGCCCATAATAAACTAAATAAATAAACTGTCCCATTTGGGCAGTCCCAGGGCGTCCTCAGCCCTTTGCTTTTGCACATCGCAGCGAGTCGTCCCTGCGGGAGGCGGCTCAGGGAGCAGAGGGCATCGGCCGAGACGGACTCGGCTCAGCTCAGATCTGGGGCAGGGAGGGCGCCGGCGGCACGGTGAGTACGCTAATACTTATAATTAAGTGGAAAGGCCCCTCAAGGCCTGCACTGCCACCTGACTCCAGGAGGGCGACAAATTCGTAATTAATAGGCCGGTCAAACAACTCGCACAGTAAGTTACCTGATGAGCACGCCCCTTCCTTCCCGCTTCTCGGCCAGCAAACGGCTCCTGCTCCCCGTAGACATCTTCGTGACGGGCAGTATTTGCCCGAGGCACAGGGCAGCCCCCCAGGAGCGCGGCCGGGCTCGGCCGTTTCTGTTCGCTCTGAGGGCCTCCGGGTACAGGAGGGATGGGGCAGCCGGGGGTCCCAGAGGACACCCTCTGCCCACGGGACGTTCCTGCCCTGGAGGCTGCCGGAGGCCAGGGACGCCGGGCAGCTCCGAGTCCTGCCCTCGGCACACTTCGGAGCAACCTCAAAGCTCTCGCCATCGTCACCTCCTTTTTTTATTATTTTTCCGGCGTTTTCTAAGGTTTCGGGGCCGTGACAGGCAGAGCAAACACTTCTCTGGGCTCCGTCCCCGCCGCGCCGCCCTTGGGACGAGGCGCCCTCTCGGGCACAGGCCACAGGAATCATTCACCCGGCCTGGGGATCACTTATCCATCCCAGTGAAAGACCAAGCACTTGGCTGGCGGTTCTGGAAGGAAAGAGCTGCGAATGGCGAGGGGAAGATAGGAGACACGGCGTCAGAGATGGGCTCCGCAACACCCAGCCGGGATGGACGGTGACTGCGCCTTGCTCGGGTGCTCACCGAGCTGCACGTTTCCCTGGAAGGAAGAGGCAGGGCCAGGCCAGCTCAGCACTCTGCAGCTTGGAACCGTCCCCAGCCGCTTGGAAAACGCTGCTCGCTTCCATGGTGGAAAACGCTGGTGTCAGCGCTGGGGGTAGAGGCTGCTCCGGGGACCTGGTGGACGTGCACACACAGCCCCGTCCTCGGGCACCGGGCAGCATTTCAAACCTCCTCCCATCTCTCCCATTACTTTATTGTCGCTGTAATTCCCAGCAAAGAGCCAGCACAGCACTATCGCACGCAGGCATTCGAGGGCACGCGGCATCCTCCCACCTGGACATCTCTGCAGGGAGCTTCACCCCTGCGAAGCTTTTCCTCCATTGCCGTTCTTCCTCAAAACAAAGGATCTTACTCACATCTTCCAAGAAAAATATTTTTAGCTGGGGAAATTAGGCTGTTTTCTCAGGCAGCGACAACAATTTGGAAACCACGGGCTGTAAACAGAGCTGGTTTACCTGTGTAACTGCTAGTACACCCAAGCAGGAGCTTTAACGTGAGGGGGTTTGAGGTGGGTGTTGATTTCCACCAAGGTAAAAATCCAGGTTTATTGACATAAGCAAACACCGATTAAATCAAAGTCGGTGTCATCCCTTCCCACACAGGATCCCAGGCGCCCACTGGCACCCCCTCCTTACAGGGATTTATGCTGAGGAGAGTGTGCCCAGGAAACGCTGCTGCTCATGGAAACGCCAGCTCTGCACCCGCCTGGAGAGCACAGCGACCGCCTGCACCAGCGCGGAGCAGCTCCCAGCGTCTTGCAACCACCTAAGCCCTGATGAGATCCCAAAGACCATCAATTCTCCAGGCTTAAAGGCTTCTGCCCAGACACACAGATTAATCAAGAGCAAAGTTCTCGCCTGCGAGCAGAGCCCCCAGCCCCGGCCGTGCACACGGCTGCTGCCACCCGACCACGCAACCGGCGTGGCGCGACCTGCAAAGCGCGGATCTCGTCCACGATTCAGCACCTGGTGACTCTCACTGAACAAATTTGCCCGTCATTTAGAGGCTCAGACACGTGCTCGGGTTTCCCAGTAGGGAGATGCAACCTTTAGGATGGAGAGCTTTTTCCCAAGCTTCTCCATGGCAAAACCGAGTTGGGCATGGGGCTGAGTAGCACAAGGAACCCAGAGCTGCTCCAGCTGAGCCCCAAGTTACCAATCCAGGATCCACAGAAACTCCCGGGCTGCCTCCTCCCTCCATCAAACGCCAGGATTATCCCGGACCGCGCAGCCCCTCGCACTGTCAGCACCAGCCCGCCCCGCTCCCGGGAATGCCGCGTGGGAGCCGGCGGCGAGCCCAGCGCCTCGTGGAAAGGCTCCGGTCCCGCTGAAGCCAGGAGCGGGGCGTGAGGAAGGAGGCGGCAGCCGAGCCCACCCCCATGGGGTGGCCGGGGCCACGTCCGAGGCCGGGGGAGCCCGGGCGGTCCCACACGCGGCTCTGCGGTGCTAACAGCCCTTCACGGACAATTGCTTCCCTGGCAGCGGGCCCGGAGCGGAGCCGCGCCGGGAGGAGCTGGCCCAGCGCCCCCGGGGA